AGCAGAGCCTCTGGTAGCTCGAAGTGTCCTTGAATTTGCTATGGATTAGAGGCCTTGATTTTCTGATCCTGCTTTAGAGTGTCGGAATTATTAGTCCCACTATGGACAGATTTATGCAGGGCTGGCAATCAAACCTAAACGCAAGCACAAATTATCTTTGTAGTCATGGACGATTAAATGAGACAATCCATGTAGTACCTGTTTTAATCAGTGTTAACCATCATTATGTTTGGCAAACACTTAACAGAGGAAGCAAGTAGCTACTGTTACTGCTAAGTGTAATTTCTTCCCTTGCAAGACTGATAAGCAATCTATGAGGGGGAGGGAGAGAGGATTAAAATTAGGGCCTCACACATGCTAGGCAAGTGTTCTATTACTCAGCTATATTCCCAGCCTCATAAGCAATTCTTTATATTATTGTTTTGTTAGACAAGGTTTCTCTTGTACTCCTGGCTGTCCTGGAACTCACTTTGTAGACCAGGCTGGCCTGGAATTGAGACCCACCTGCCTTTGCCTCCCAAGTGCTGGGATTAAAGGAGAGCACCAAGACCATGACACCCGGCTCCTCATAAGAAATTTTAATTGTCTTGTGACTTCATTGGTTATCATAATGCTTGGCACATATTAACCAAATGACTTAGAAGATATTAACAGATTTTTACAGAGCTTAAATTACAAGGGCAGACAGACATAAAAATTAGTAAATTCTGTAGTATATTAGAATGCTGGATGAAAGGAAAAACAGGAAAGGGTGTCCAGATGCACGTTTAAATAGAACGGGGAAGGAAAGCAGGCTTCATTGAAATGAGTTAGAGGAAGTATCGGGGAGAAGAGAAAGATTCTAGACAGAGGAACAGCGCAAGGGCACTCAGCCTGTTTAAGGAGTAACAAAAAGGGGGATGGAATTGGACAAGAGTGTGTATTTTTTTTTTGCAGAAGACCCATAACTCCAGCATCTCAGTGTGCATTTAACTTGATACAAACCAGGCTCACCTATAATGTAGGAATGACAATTGCTTCCATCACATTGGCCTGTAGGCAAGCATGTAGGCATTTTCTTGCTTAGATTGATGTGGGAGGGCTCAGTTCTCTGTGGGTCATAGCACCTCTGAGCAGGTGGTCCTAGGATGTATAAGAAAGCAAGCTGAGGAAGCCATGGGGGAACAAAGGAGTTGTTACTTCCCATGGCCTCTGCTTCAGTTCCTGACTCCAGGTTCCTGCTGACTTCTCTTCATGATGGACTGTAACTATAAGATGAAGTCTCTTTACCATGCTCCTTTTGGTCCTGGTGTTTATCACAGCAATAGAAACCTAACTAGGATACAGGAGATCTTGTCTCTGGTCTCGGAGGGCACCAGCACTTCTGTGCATATACTTACATCACACATGCACAATAATCCACTCACAAAATTAAAAAGTAAGGAGAGGGGCCAGAGAGATGGCTTACTGGTTAACACAACTTAGCTGAGTCTAGAGGATCCAAACTCAATTCTCAGTACCCATATAGCAGCTCACAACTGTCTATACATCTAGTTTAGGGGATCTGTTGCTCTCCTCTAGTCTCTATGAGCACCAGACATACACCCAAACCAGGACATTCCTGGGACTGTGTGTGAGAGAGACATCTAGCCATATTTGTAGTTACTGCTGTATCCTGGGGATACAGAGATAACAATTTGCTACACCTTAATGAAGAAACAGAATAATGTATTGAACTATACCAAGTTTAGAGATAGGCATAGTATGAAAACTTCCTCGGAGGGGTCAGACCTGATTTCCGAGAGATGAAGTTTGCTATAGTTTAGGGGTTTTGTTCAGTGGTCTAGTGTCTGTTGTGTGTAAGGCCCTGAGATTAATCTCTAGCATGATCTTTTGTTTGTAAAGTGTGCTTGTACCATATGGGGATGAAAACATCTCTTGAATTTGGTAACTGTCTGTGGAGTTGGTAGGGAACGTCTATGAATCTGCAATGTAGAAAATGCAAACCTTGTACATAGTGAATTCCCAAGAAATACTGAATTGACTTGGCATACCTACAACTTAGTCTAAGACAGCAAGGGGACCCATGGGTCCAACCCACATTGGATGACTGCTTGCTGTACATCATTTCCAATAAGAAAGCCGATTCTCCCTTGGGAAATTTCTTTTCCTCACTCAGTCCATTTGTGATTGAGTCTCCTTGTAGTTCCAGGGGGCAAATGATTGGCAAATCAAAGCATTCCAACAGCCCTGCAACTCCAGACGCAGGCTTGAGTCGAGGGGGGATTAGTGATCCAGGTCAGGTAAAATGAAAGGTTTCATAGTATATATGCTTGAGATCTCCTTGTGATGGCTGACAAAAGCAAAGGCTTTGAAGAAATGTCACCTGTAGCCACACTAGCTGCCAAATGATTTATTTGGTCTCCCAAAGACACTTCAAATCTGATTCTTAATACAAGAACATTCAAGGGTGTTCCTGTTCCAATCTCTTGCATCACTTTCATTCCTTGTGTGGTTAGCCTTTCCATACATCAGCCCTCACACCTATGTTCTTGTCAAACTCTTCACACTGTATGTTCTACAGAGATAATAAAGGAAACCATTGGGAAGCTTTGAGACTGTGTTTCACTCTAGTCCTGGCTGGCCTCCAACCTCAGAAATCCACTCCACCTCTGCTAGGATTAAAGGCTTCTGTCACAATGCCCAGCCTGAACATCCAGTTAAAATAAGCAAAGGCCTCATATTGTTTTGATAGGCCTGCAGTCTGAAGGGAAGGTAGAAAGAACAAAGGTTCAAGTTAGGCTTTGTTCCAGAGTAGTCTAGTAAGCTTGAGCATAATTGAGATTAGTTTTGTCAACCTGAAACACAACCTGGAATAACTGGGGAAGAATTTCAATGAGGCATTTCCTAGATCAGGTTGGCCTATACTATCTTAATTATGTAAATGAAGTGGGAGGAGTAATTTACTCATGCCCTGAAGCCTGGGTCCTGGACTGAAGAGTGTGTAAGCTCTCATTCTCTCTGCTCTTGGCTGTGGATGTGACTAGTGGCTTCAAGTTACTGCTGTCTTGATTTTCCTACGGTCTGCAATCAGAGCTGTGAGATAAAATAAACTCTCTCCCCAACCTGCTCTTGCTGGGCCATTTTATTATATTAATGGAAAATAAAACCAAGACAATAATTGAAGCTAGAAAAACAGATCATTTGAGGATCCTAAATGCTGCAAGGAAATTTGAGTCCAGGTCTTCAAGCCTGTCTGATACGAAAATTAGGATTAATTCCTATTCATTATTGTGAGGACCAACAGAGAGTACACAGCAGAGACATAATATATAAGATGGCTGTCATTAGGAGTTGGGAGATTTGCCCCACTTTGTTCTCTCAGAATGGTATGTCAGTCTTACTTCCCTACCATCAACACCCGCCAGAGGGAGCCACATACAAAGAAACAGGAGTTCCCAAAGCAACAGGGAAGCAAAGCCAGCAAGAGCTTGGAGCTAAGTTGCTTCCTTCTCAGATACATACTAAAGAGAGGTTGGGGAATGCTGCATAAGATAAAGTGACCAGGCAGGTGTATGGTCTAAACTCTATGTGTATATGTGTTTTGTACCCTAGGCCACTACACCCATCAACTCCGCTTCTAAATTACTAGGCCCGACTGGAATCCCCTGTGCTATCCAGACACTCTAGCTAGCCCTGGGACAGCCACGGTGGTACACACCTTTGATTCCAGCACTTGAGAGGTAGAAGTAGGCAGATTTCTGTGTATGAGATCCAGGTTAGGCCAGGCCACAAAGGGAGATACTATCTCAAAATACTAAAGACTAGTAAGAGCTGGAACCTTAGCCAGGATTCAAGGCCAGCTTGAACTAAAGTAGGACACTATCTCAATGTAGTATCACCACGTGCGCACACAACACACACACACTCACTCGTTGAAGTTACTCTATGATGGGAAGGAGAGAGAAAATGTCATGTGGGAGCAGTATCCATGCGGCATTGGAATCCAGCCTATGCATCAGAAAGGGCTGCAGAGGACAGTCATGGTAATGCATGTCTGCAATTCCAGGACTGAGGAAGCAGAGGCAAGTTTGAAGCCAGACTGGACTACAGTGAGGTTGTGTCTTCTCTTGGACACCAAACAATTAAAAAAGAAGCAATGGGGTCTAGTTTCTCTAATCAGGATTATTTGCCACTTACCTGCACTAAGACAGAGACTTCCTCACCCCCAAGAGATGTTAAAACAAAGGGCCAGCTTACCTAAGACTAAACTGCATCCAAGCCCAGAGACGGGGCCTGGAAGCGACATAACAGCTAAAGGGCTCAAGTAAGGAAAGGCATGCAGGCAGAGCTACAGCCTTCTGAGCTTAGTTGTGGCTGGCGGCCAGGCCTCACACCCCCCACTTCCAGAGCCAGTCCTGCTCCACACTCCCACTCGTCCCCTGAGAGTCCATCACCCTGGCAACAGTTAGAGAAAGGCCCTTTTAAAATATTTATGTCTCAGAGCAGTCCAGAGGCTTGGGGAAAGCTGATGTCATCCTTCTCAGCTTGCAGGTGACTGACAAGCAGGGCAGCTGGGAAGGGAGGCCAAACACCCTGAGAGAAAGATCCCTAGGGCACTAAAAGCAGTAATGGAGGTGGATGTTGTGACAAAACTTCTAAAAATAAGCCTGAAGAAAAGGGGGAAACTTCAATGTTGGGCAGTATTCTGTCCAGCCCGTTTTTCAGATTTAAACTGTTTCTCTCAGGTTCTCATTCAGTGCAGAGAAACTACTTATGAAATAAGTATTCCTTGACAAACACACAAGAAATGAACTGAAATTTAAATTGAGATGTTTGACTTCATTCTGAGCTTTCCTGGAAAATTCCGTGACTCTCAAGTGGTGTCTATCTTGTACCTGGAGACTATAGATGACTTACCAACCTCTAGGAGAAAAACTGAAGCTACAACACTGGCCCAGCGTTAACTAGTAGTAGGTGGGATATCGGCTCTCTCCCAGAGCTGATAGAACCACTCGCCGTTCAGCACTTGACCAAACCTTTATTGAACTCCAGAGGCAGACTCTTGAGAATTGTAGTACAGAGGCGATGCAAAAAAGCCCCACCCTTCAAGAACTTGTGGACAAGTGCTAACAACAAAGATGAACACAGGCTCAGAGTTTAAAATGCTTTACCCAAAGTAAATGATTCTCAACTTTCCTCTACACATTATAGACAGGGTGACTATCTTTTCTGGGAGTCCTTTGGAAATGCTCAAGGGTTCCCAGGCTAAAGATTCCAACAAAGGTGTGGCAGTGGGGGCATAAACAGTAGTATGTTCCAGCACATTCTATGGAAAGCCAAGCGGAAACAAGACTGGGAACAGCACAGATGCTGAGAGTATTCTGACCTGGAGAGTCACACCCTGGCTTTTCAAGACCCCTTTCTGTATAGACCTGACGGTCCTAAAACTTGCTCTGTAGATCAGGCTGGCTTTGAATTCCAGGATCCATCCGTCTCTGTCTCCTAAGTGCTGGGATTAATAGTGTATGCCACCATGCCTGCTGCCTCTGAATTCTTTAAAAGCCATTTATTTACTTATTTATTTACTTATTTATTCATTTATTTATTGTAAGGAAAAATGAATCCAGGCCCTCTACATGTGCAAGTGAAGTGTTCAAACACTGAGTCAAACTCCTAGCCCCTCCTACTGAAATGTCTTGAGTAGGTAGTCCTGAAGCTCTGAAGACTCCATCTGGGGGCTAAAGACTCCTAAGTAGAAGATTCTGGCTGAATTTCTGTGGGAAAATCAGATCAAGAGGTGGGGTGAAACACAACTGCTGAGCTCCTCTCCTGGGTTTCTATGTCCCAGGCAGTGCCCCAAGCCAGCCTCTATACAGCAGGTAGCTCCTGGTATCCAGGCTCCTTTGACAGCTGAAAAGACACAAAGTGGAAAATTAAGGAACTTGAAGCTGATGGGGCTTCTCAGCCTTCATCTGGTCAGGTTTTGTACCTTACAACCTTCCTTGTCCATAGCTAACCTCCTTGCTGCGTTCAGCAGGCAGGTTCCTAGGCACACACAGATCAGCAGGAGATAAAAGCTCACAGGCTCCGTGAGCTCTCTTTGAGGTTATGTCAGGGGCAGTTGTTATCTGCGACTTTGTGGGCTCTCTTCCACCCTTTGCCTCACCCACCTCTTCTCATCCTTTTACTAGACAGGAGGGAAAGAGGCAGAGAGACAGGGAGAGAGAGATTTCTCAATCTCATGTCTTCCTTCTTTGAACACGACTAAGAAACATCAATCAACCCTCCTGAACAACCACCAGCCCCACCTCTCTAGGCCCTCCCCTTTATATACCCTCTAGAAAGTTCCCAGAGTTCCAAATATTACACAGTCACAGAAACTACCTGTGGCTGGCAAACCACACACACCTCTGCTAGAGCACAAAGCAAATCATAGTCAGCTACCTCGGACAGTGTGAAGCAGTGTCACATCCCCCCACCTGAGATAAAAGTGGTTTTGTGTTTTTATTTTTATTTTTTTGTTTTTTTGAGACAGAGTTTCTCTGTGGAGCCCGGGCTGTCCTGAACTCACTCTGTAGACCAGGCTGGCCTCGAACTCAGAAATCCGCCTGCCTCTGCCTCCCAAGTGCTGGGATTAAAGGCGTGCACGACCACCACC